ACTTACTCAATCATTACCAGAGAGCGAAACCAACATTAGATTTATACAAACACTTATTTATTTTACTCAAAATCCAATAATTTACAAATGTACTCGCGCTCGACCGCATCCTGTGAGTTGATGAGGTAACAGTAATTTATCAGATGCGAAAACTTCAAATTACAAGAAAACTTTAATGCCGTTAAACAGAAAATGTAAACATGTGTTTTCGCAAAAAAATAATAATAAATCGAGATGTTCGAAAATCAATTAATCAAAATTAAAAATTGTAATACTTCAAGATTTATGAAAATAAATTACTAGTTTTATTAAAAAGCGCTTTTCAAATTATTTGTATATTGTATATGTGGGCTCTCTTTGGGTAAACCGCCAGACTTTAATTTCATCTTAATCTTGTGGCATGCTCAAAAGATTTCTTTCGTGTCAAAGGCGATACTCAAGAAGACAAAATTCAACGATTGCTACAACAGCCAATTCCATCTTACGGGAGTTGGCCCGCATTTTTATCCGGTTAAGGAGTGTGAAGTACTGCTTTCACCAGACTAAATAAGAAAGCAAAGCTTATGGATCTTCCTGTGAAAGAGGGCAAAACAAAATATCCCCTGTAATCAACCAAACAGTCGTCGCACGCGTGTCTAGGCTCCCACGTCACTGTTGACAGTAATAACTTCAAAGTCGTAGATAATTTGGCCTATCATGTAACCGGTATTAACACCAACAACACAGATCGAAATACAACTCAGAATAACTCTTACCAACAGGTGCTACTTCGAACTGAGTAGGCAATTGAGAAGTAAAGTTGTCTTTCGACGAACAAAGATCAAATTCTACCAATAACCCATCATCCCCGTCCAGCTGTATAATGCAGATGCATGGACGATGACAACTGATGATGAGTCGGAGAGAAAGCTTCTGCAGAAGATTTATGGTGCCGGGTGAAGCATTGGAAGAGCAAGACCTACACTACAAATATATATGCAATGTATATGCTCTGTGCCCAGGGATTCAGAAATAGCAAAAGTCAATATATGAATTAACAGCCATTTGTGCAGGAAACTCATATGTGTTGATATTGTAGGTAATATATTTATGGAAAATAATAAACTAAAGAATAGCCTTCGAGAGTTTACAGCACTCTCCTGTTTTCCTGAAAAATAAACCTTTGCCGTCACTTAAAGAGCCTAAATCGGTGTCGGTGCCTTGTCAGATCTTTTCAAAGCAATAATTCCAAAACTGAGTTAGATGTTCAAAATAATAACCGCATATATGAAATAGAATCGGCTGTTGGGTCATCCTTAAGTAAAAAAATCAACATTGTCAACACTAGAGCAACTTTTAAAAGCAGTGCTTTTCTATATCCCACTGATCCATACCGGCATTGAGTCCAACTCAACTCGAGTTTACTACTGCGAGCCATACGGCTCAATCCAAAATTTCAAATTTCCTTTCGGTAAGATGTAAGGCATGTAATGTACATATGGATCCATCTTCAGACCACAAACAAAACGCCCTCAATTTTAGCTGGTCGCAACACTCCAATTTTATATTAAAGCACGGACTGCACGTTTATCCTACCTGACATGAAAAACTTTATGGACTCAGCCCAGCTTTATCAACCTTTCTCGGACTGACGAAGCAAAAATTTTGGTTCAACCCGAAACATGTGCTCTAATACGCTATTTAAACTATTTCACAATTGAATTGACACTGCGGCAACGCCGGCATATACATATGTACATACATTTTGCAATCGGACCGTGACGATTACTGATTACACGTCTCATCAAATGTTTGACAATGGCACATTAATAACGGTAATAAAGAATTTCCTGGTCGCAAAGCTGTTATCTTGAGGTTTCTTATAAATGTGTGAGGAAATTAAAAACACCGATAAGACCTTATCAAAGGAAGTTGATAGCTCAACGAATTGTGTGGCAACTGATACTGCGGTCAATTGCTATCTCTCTCTCCTCTTAACTTGTAAAAGAGGAATAAGACATTATAAGTAACTAAGATAGTATATTTTATAATTTATTAAACAATATAAATATTATGCTAATAACCAGGGTTGCCAATTTATCAATTGAAAAAACATCTTGGATTAAAAATTATTTTAATTAAAAATTTTAATTTTTAGTATTTCACTTTTTAATTCCGATTTTGGGATTGTACAACGCGTGTTACGAAATGGGAAAAATATAAATTCTAAACAATTTGTTTTTAATTTTAATTAACGTATATTCTTTACACTTAAGAAAAAAAAACTTTCCGGTTAAAAAATTTAACTAAAGTATTTTTTAATGCTTAATTTTATAATGCATAAATATTAATATAAATAAATATGTATATAATAAAAATAATAAATTAATAGTTTATAATTTAATTCAAACTAATTTTTCTTCAATAAAAGATTTTTCGTAATTTTTTAATATATCAACTTTATTCAATCGAATAATTAATTGTTTAAAATAAAGAAAACATGTAGCTTTTATTAATTTTAAATTCATTTAATAATCTGCTCTTCATTGTTTTTGTTTTTTTTTTACTTGTATTCTTGCTGTTTGCTATTAATATATAGTAAATCTGGAATATTTAATGTGGGAAAATACACAACTTTTCACATGCTGACCAGCTGCATTTATTTTTTTGCCAGCTGTACCCTTTTTGTTGTTTTTTCAAAGCATTTAATGAAGTGCGCGGCTGTGAATATTTGTTATTGTTATTGTTGCTTTTGTTTTTATTTCTTCCACAAATTAGCACCGCATATGGCAATGTATGTGCATGCATGTATGTATGTAGCGCATAATTGAAATACGAGCAGCAGCAGCAGTTGTTGTTTTTGTAGAATTCACTAAATATTTAAAATCTAAATGCAAATGGTAAAGATTTTCCTAGCGCTGAATATGTTAATGAATACATTAAACGATTTCAAACGAATTAACTAAAATTAATACACTGTTATAAGACAGTTGCACATTTGCATGTATGTTTGTATGTATGTATGTAAATGCTTATATAATACAATAAGAAGTATGGAAAGATATAAAATGCGTTTCCAAAGTGTTGGTAAATATTAGTTTTTTACAAAAATGTCACACAAAACATCAAAATTTTAAATATAATACTTGGTAAAATGTTAACAATTAAACGAGTGTTTTTGTTCTTGTTGTAAAATGCATTAAAATATACCTATACATACATATTGTATACGTATGTGTGTGTGTGCGTGCGAGTTAGGCGCATAAAAATATATGAAGTATGTTTGCACAATAATTGTAGAGTGAATTGACAACTTAGTGGGTGTGAATATATACTATATGTATGTATGTATGTATGTTTGTTTGTTAGTTTGTTTTACATGCGAATTTCTTGCTTAATTGAACGTTAGAAAAAACAATAATTGTATTTGTTTTATAAATTTTGCATGGAAGCAACTTGTTGCAAAAATTTGCAGTTTTTTCACCGTTTTTTTTCACTCAAATTAGACTTTTTATTTGGCTATTTGGTTTGTGCCTCGGCGCTGATACGACAAATGCTAGCCAGCGGCGAGCAGAAAGTATGTGATAATTAGCGTCTATGTTTACTTTTTTATTTACTTTTATAATTTTTTATTATTTTTGTTACTTATTGTGCGCATAGGTTGCGTTTTGTGATAAATGACAGGCGTAGGTGACAGAGCGATTGCCGTATCAGTGCCAGAAGAAATCAGCTTTTAATGCTTTGAAAGATGTTTTTTGTCTTAATATTTCCGCTTTTGAGAATTTAAAATATTCTACTTGGCAAGTTGTATGTGTCTATGTATGCTTATGCTATTTCTTTTTTATATTTCGATAAAAGCGCTTAAAACGACCCTCTTCTTAAGTGAAATTTATGCACTAAAGAAAGAAATGCAAAAGAAAAGCGTTACAACAATTGAAACAAAAGTGTTTTGAAGTGAATTTTATGCGGTTTACTTTGTAAGTTTGTGTGTAGTATGCGGTCCTAAAAGCAATGAGGGTTTACAACAATTGGTCTTTAATTTCTGTTTTCATAAATTTACCCGCACCACTGATGAGACCGCTTGCTTCACACTTTATCATGGCACTGAATTTCCTATATTCATTAAATTAGTTTTTTTTTTTGTGTTTTTTGTTTTACAAATTCTTCAGCAGTTGGCTCGTTCCAAAATCTCATTTTATAGACAAGTTTGTTTAAATCTTTGCAAATTTCAACAATATCTACATATGCAAAAGGCATGCGTATGCATGTATATGCAAATATGTGTGTGTTAGCCTACATTTGCACAAAATATGTGTATATATGTATATATGTATTTTTTATGTATAAACTGCAACAGTTTTTATGCAAATTTTATTTTATGTAACACAGAAGTTGCGAAGCTTAAAAGACCGCCCAACAACCCAACTTTATAAATTTCGACAAATGTTGTAGGTATTTATGCAGTTATTACGTCATAATTTTCAAGGTAAGTATGTGGTAGGTAATTATATAAATTCTCTCTAAATATAATTATATACATTTATTAGTTAATCATACCAAATATATGTATATGTATATAGCTAATATATAATATGTTATATGCATTATGTATATATGTATGCATAATATTTGCCTTCTTTGTGTGTATATGTATGTGTATCTATGTATGTACGTATGTATGTGTATTTCTGCTTAGCAATATGCATTTAATATTTAATAAATTGAACTTGTTTAATATATGTTTGTCTGAATATATTTAATGCAAGTTGTTAAAATACTATGCCGACGTCATCGTTTTCTTCATTTAGGTTAACGTAGCTTTTTATGCAAATTTCTTCGGCCCATTTTTACAAATTTACATATGTACACGTGTATGTACGCGCAATTACTATTAACACCAAACCTTCATTACTTTCTTATGTTATCTATTATTTACTTAAATATATATATGTATATATATATATATATACTGTCTCTTATACACATCTAGATGTGTATAAGAGACAGATATATATGTATGTATGTATATATGTTTGTAGTTAGAAGCGATAATGTGATTATATGTATACGAATTACAGCCGAGTTACAAAATGTCAAATTTAAATTCACTAAAACTACAACTGTATCTATCTTAATTGCACGCATTCAATCGCCAATATAATTTGTTCATTAACTTTACTTTACTTTTCTTCTTTTAGTTTGCGTTCAGGAGCAGCAATGCTTGGCATTTTTCCACATGTACATTCACGACTTTGGAAATACAGAAACCGCAAGTGAGTAGGAGAAGTCAGCAACTCATTATTATGACTCCGGAGAGTCCATGCTTACGTAATTAATTACTTACATTACTAGATAAATACTTTCCTCAAATTCTCCCAACAAGTATTTCAAATTGGATTTTTAATATACAAAACAAGTATCACTTTCCAACTGACCACAATATTTCCACATATGTAACTTTCGTCTTTACAAATTAATTGTTCAGCGTTCAGCCGAGCTCACTTCTAGGTTATGTGCGTATGCATGTTTGCAGAGTTTTATACTTATTCTCAAAGGCAAATCACAATCTCGTATTGTTTTCACAATTCAATTTCACTACAATTAAGCGAGAAATTTACAATTTTACCATATTCAATAATTTTATACAAAATATAGGTCTGTCATTTATTATTCAGTAAAATTCCTGCATAATTTTGATTTCAAACGCGGAGTGCTGCAGGTGCACACGTCAAAAATTTGGCAATGGCATGAGAAATTCTTTTGGAATTGTTCTTACGGAAGTTGCCTGAATCTATTTATCGCTGCTACGAACACTAAACGTGGTTGAAATCGTTTTAGAAAATACTTATTTAGAATATGTTTGCAGCTTTTGCTGCGTGTACAGGTATACAATGTTTTCAAGTAATATTGTATTAATTTTTGTTTGTTAGTTGTGATAAGCATTATAACTTTGGCCATTATTTTTGAGTAAGTAGTTATGCAAAAAAATATACTTCTCTTCTTCTTCTTATGTTTATCTTGTTTATAATTTACAATTGTTAATATGTATTGAATCGCATACAAACAACAAGTATTATTTTATAAAATAAATAATTAGTTTGTACGCAAAATCTCGTCACATTTAAAAACGCGCACAGAACACAAACGAACGCACACCAGCTGGTCTCAACGCCCTCTTAATTGGGGCGGGTTGTGTGTTGTGCAGCTGGAAGTCGTGCGTAAGAAGTTGACAAAACGCCTAAAAATATAATTACTCCCCGCCTCTCCTCGCCACTAGATAAATGTTTTATTAATAAATACGCTAACAATGTGCGCCACAGTATAATGATGGCAATTTGCTTCTCCACACACGCACCAACGTTGCTTTTATGGTAAACAAATTTCCATTTAGCACACTAAATGGTTTTTATCTAGCTCACTCCTAGCCCCCCAGCAGGTGATTCATTGAAATTTCGCCAAAAAAATTTACGAGTGCAGGTTGGCTCGGTCTTTGGCACGTCGTTTCGCCAATTTCGACAATTCTACTGGTCCCACATTTGCCGCTTGTGGTATTGCAATTGCGCGAAAAGTCGCATCGACTGCGCCGCGTAGTGCTGCTGTTGCCTCGCGCACAGAATTGGCGTTGGGTTGCGCCACGCCCACACCTCTTTCACCTGTGGCATTGACACCCTTGGCTGACATTTGCGTGGGTATTATCGCGTACTCTGTGAGGCGCACTGAGCCCGCTGACTGTTCGCGCAGCCACGGGTGTTGCAAAATTTGTGCTGCTGTCGGTCTATTCTCCGGCACGATGTGTAGCATTTGGCGTAGCAGATCTTTCACTTCGTGGCCGGTCATCGCCCACCGACTAGAAGTGAAGTCCACATGTCCGGAACCTATCCGCTTTAATATCACATCAGGCGAGTCGTTTGGCGTTGAAGCGAACGGTGTGCGACCCGAGAGCATAATGTAGAGCAACACTCCTAATGACCAGATATCGCAGGCCAGGTCATAACCTTGACGTTTCAGTACTTCTGGCGCCACAAAGTTGGCTGTATAGCATGGTGTCATCAGCAGACCGTTGTCGGCACGCAGCTGCTTTGCAAATCCTGAATATAATTAGTTTGCAATTATCAATACCACTCGCCACAATATGGTGAATTTGTTCTATAATATTTGTTATTTACTTCAGTACTTACCCAGGTCACAAAGTTTTAGAGTCTCCGGCGTTTGCCGCATGCTGGCATAAATCATATTCGATGGTTTTAGATCACGATGCACAACACCATGCTCGTGCAGGTACGCCACAGCTGACACAACCGTCCTTAGCACTGCGCTGGCTTCACTTTCGCACATTTGTCCCACTGCTAGTATGCGATCGAGAAGCTCTCCTCCTTTCAGCAACTCCATAACTAGATACGCAGACGTTACGTCCTCGTACACTGAGAATAGAGTGACAATGTTAGGGTGATTTCCGTATCTCAGCATTATTTCAACTTCTTCCCAACAATCGGCGGAGGTGGACGACGCCGCTGCCGCTGCCTTTTCAATAATTTTAACTGCAAAATGCTTTTTGGTTGAGCGATGCTCACACAAACGGCATACGGAAAATGTGCCGCGTCCTAATTCTTGCAACAAATTGTATTCTGAATGAAAGTTGCCAGGCAGCACACCAGGCAGAGTACGCTGCGGGTTGTGTGCGTGGGGCACATAAGGCGACAGTGGACTGGAATTGTTAGAAGATTCATCCAGTAACACCGGCGCCACAAAACTGAAGCCACGAAAGATTTCATGTGCCGATGCAGAAATTGGACCACCGGGCGAATCATGTGGCGGCTTTGAGGTGTACTCGATATCGAAGTAAAACGCGTCATCTCGCGACACTGCTGGTATAAATGGTGGACGTACTTCTTTCCGCACCAACCTCACCCAGTCAATTGTTGCAAAGAAACAATGCGCTTTAATATCCAGTATGCCGTGTTCTCCAGCACCTAGACGATTTTGGGGATTACGTTTAAATAGTGCACGCAAAAGCGATTGCGCCTCGGGCGATAAGTTTTCGGGCATTCCCAATTTCGAGCGTAATATTTGATTCATTGTTTCTTGACGCGTTTGTCCATGGAATGGCAAATTTCCTGTCAACATTTCGAACATCAATACACCAAAAGACCACCAATCGGCTGCCACACCATGTCCCTTGCGATTCACTATTTCCGGTGCCATATATTCGACGGTACCACAAAAACTATACGTTTTGGAGCCATCCAAAGGCTGCTTCGACAGACCAAAATCAGTAAGCGCTATGTGCCCGTTTTCGTCCAACAAAATATTTTCCGGTTTCAAATCGCGATAAATTATTCCCAATGTGTGCAGGTGATTTAATGCTAAAGCCAATTCAGCCAAATAAAATTTGACATCGTCCTCCGTAAACATCACCTCTTTTGATAATCTTGAAAATAGATCACCACCGCGCAAAAAATCCAATATTAAATACAATTTACCGGGTGTTTGGAAGGCATAGTGCAGTTTCACGATAAACGCATGCCCGACGTCGGCTAAAATTTTACGCTCATTTCTACTACGCACACGGTCCTTGATTTTCAGCGTGGCTTTTTTCAGCACTTTCATCGCGTATAGCGTACCTGCATCCTTGCCAATAACCTTGCGTACTAAAAACACTTTACCGAAGCTACCTTCGCCCAGTACACGCAACAATTCGAATTGTGATGGGTCGGCTTTGTCATGGCCTTCCTTTATTACTTCGCGTAGCTCGAACTCATTTTCGCGCAACTCCCCATCACCCACAGCTGGCGCATAACCTTCCGAATCACTTAAATCCATCAGTTCAGTCGTATCCGCCGTATCGGAGCTGATGTGATGTTGTTCTAATGCAGCTTGTAATGCTGTTTGTTGCACCTGTTGCAAATGTTGTTGCTGTTGCTGTGCCTGCTGCCTGCGCTGGGATGACGTCACGGTGGTCACACCACCACTTTCTTCATCAGTGGGTGTGTGCTCCATCGGTGTCACGGCCAGACTACTACAACCTGACGAAGTGATCTGCATACGCTGGCGCCGCTGCTGCTGGACCAAGGCGCCATTGGCATTGTCCGGATGGGCATTATTTCCGACAGCAATACCTACGCCTAGCTGATGCTGTTGGCGCAAATCTTTATTCAAATCGGCCAGTGGCATTGCGCCGGTGACGCTGATGACCTCCGAAGATGTGGGCGTTTTTAACGTCGCCGTGATCCAATTAAATTGTGCTACGATATTTGTAACTTTCAATATTTTCAACTGCTTTCACTGCGCTTGTAGCTGCTACTGTCAATGCGACGGTGAATTTTGACTACGGTTAGCGGAAGGAAGGCGTGGGCGATATTTTCACAGGTCGTTTTGTTTATTTGTACACAAATATTTGGTTGTTGCACACGTAATTAAAACATTCAAAACACATACGAGACATACCGACGCGACGCTTACGCACTACTATAAAACTTTATACACTCTTTTTACACATTTTTGCATGAACTTTTGCTAAATTGCACGTATTAAATGATTTTTTTCACTTCACTGCTGTTGCTGCTAGCTTATTGTCGGATTCGCACTGGATCGTCAGCGTTTGACAGTTTGCCAAGCGCCGTGCTGCCATATGCGATAAGCGAGCTTTGAATTGAGGAATTACTGAGCGCATGGTGTTTACAGTTGTATAGGGGTATTTGAGCAGACGGGAATGCAAGCAATGTATGGTTATGTAGACATGAGTCATACAATATATTATTATATATTTATATATATTAGGTTATCTGTGCTAGAAATAGGGGTGCAATATGTCAAAAGCACATTTATACCGTCTTTAGTTAAATTGCTTTACTCTGTATTATGAATACTATCTGGCATCTTTCGCAATGATTGTAATAGATTCTCTTGAAGGCAAACGTCAAAACTTTTTGTAAATACCCGCAAGCAACCGGATGCCGAAATTTAGTTTCACAACATTAAAATTACGAATTTTGTGGACTCAAGCGTATTTAACATAATTATAATATTATTTACGTACCTGGAGCATATCTGCAACGCACATCTGTACACCGATACAATACTGACAACAAAGTGTAAAAACAATGCCAAAATTAGACCGGAAGCAGCCGATATCTCACTATTCGCATTCAACAAGTCAAACTAAGAAAAGAGGGCATACTTTATTTCTACATCGTTGGGGCTAATTTCTGCTTACCTTTTCCTCCATTCGGTTGACGTCCCTAGAGAGCCCCACGCCGGAAACAGCCAACGCCAGTGTACTGGTCGCAATGCAAATTAAACTCAGCGCCAGAAACGCTGTTTGTGTCTTCCGTATGCTGACTACGCCCAGCGAACCAGTGATGGCCGCCACCAGGCCAGTCCAAATACCACAACCGGCCGTGGAGAGCGCCGCTTCGCGCACAATCAACAATGAACCGAGCGCCACCAACGTAATGGCCAACATTAGCTGCAATGTACCCAAAACAATTTGCCATGGGAAGGCCGAACAGCAGTCGGCGCTGGACTTGGCACGCCTTTGATATTTCGCCGCTTTCGCCGAATTCGATGAGCTGCCATCGCCATCTTTGATTTTAATCAATTCCGGTGGAAAGCGCTGCTTCTTGCTAATACGCGAATCGAGTGTGTTGGCACGCGAAGCAATTGCGGCCTGCAATTGTTGTTGGAATTCCTCGTGTGTCATCAATTTCGGCTTCTTTGCGTCATCGCCACCGAGGTTTTTACCATTGCCAACGTTATTGGCTGCCACAGAGGCGACCAATGTGGCTGCCGTCAACTTCAGCGGTGGCTTCTGATCGTACACAGGACTTGAGTAAATGTGACTTTGTGTATCTGCTTGTAATTGCTGCATTTGCTTTTGTGGACTCAGCTGTTGTTGTTGGTGGTCGTCGGTGTCACTGCAACCGCTGCTGTTGCGCTGCAATATGGATTTCTGTGAGTTAGTGAGACTGTCATGCTGTGCATTTGTCGTGTTCAAGCTCTGCTCAATGGTGGCGTGCATGAGCTCCTCGCGATTGACGCTGCGATCCACGATCGTGTCCATGCTGTCGACTGTGGAATCGTGCGAATCGATTGTGCGTGCTGGTGATTCGGATTGGCGCACCATATCGTCGCTGTTGTTACTGTCCATGTTCATGCTCATACTTGTGTTGTTGTTGGCGTTATTGAAATTGCTGCTAACCGCTTTAATGTCGTCCATCTTTGTTTGTTATTGGCTCTCGCTCGTTTCGCCAAACTTATTTGCACATCTAAGCTGTTACCGATGGAGTTCCGAACTCGAGTGCGAGTGACTGTAAGTAATTTGAAAGCAATATTAGCAATTATAAAAATTCATAAATTTATTTTGCGATATCTTAGTCTTCATCCAAATATATATAACAGTTGATTGAATAACTTTTTTTTTTTGCTCTTTTTAACGGCAGTGGAAGTGTGTCTCGTGTTATTTTTTCATTACTTTATGTTTAATAACAAATATTCGCACGATTGATTAGCTCGACAAAATCTTTGGAAAGTGAGGTGAGGGCAGTGGTGCCATCTGCATTTGTTCGTAATAAGTGTGCGTTCAAAAATGGATCCTTTATGGCAAGTAAGTAATATTTTTATTTATAACGAATTTTTATGTAACTTTAAGGGGTTTGGCGGGTTTGAAAATCGCAAAAAATCTATTTCTTTTATGATGTTATTAAATTCTACAATACCTCTAGAATATTGTAGTAAATTTTATAGTTGAATTGAGTAATATTTTCGGAGATACAGCTTTCAGAATTTGTGCGCTCTAGGCTAGCTGCGCTAAGTGCTCTGTCTGTAAAAGTGTTTTTCTCGAATTTTTTTTTTTTAATATATAATAAATGGCGAAAACTTGACCAAAAAATTAGATTTTTTGTGCAAAGTCTGAGAAGAAAAAGGAAAAATGTAATATTTCTTATTTTCTTCGTTCAAAACAAGATTTAGATATGTACTAACGGAATATTCTTAGGTTTTTTAATTTTATATTAACCAATAATAAGTTTTGCTGTGTACAACGAGAGCACTCTTTTGTGAGACACCCAGAGAAACGAGGTTTCAACGGTTGAATTTTCAACATTTTTGTATCGAAATTTCAGAAGATATTGTTCAAAAATGTACCTTTGACATAACATATTATATTTTTGAAATATATGATTGCTTATATTAAAAAAAATTGCCTTTTTCCGTATCTCTGAAACCGACCAAACCCCTTAAGGGGTTATATACAGTTACAATTTGAAAAAATCAATTGCGTGGAAGTGCATTTCAAACTTTAAACGTGTTTTCCTCAAAATGGTGTTTTCAAAGACGGCTAATCCTATTAGTCTCAAAATTCAACACGAGGTTTTTAAATATATTTTTTAGAAATTAACATAAAAAATTTTTTTAACCAATAAATATTTCTTTTATAAACAATTTAAATCTGAAATTTTGGTCAAAAATCTTTTTTTTTTAGAAACCGCCATTTTGTTAAAAAACGGTTTTTGCTGATTTCTCCAATTAATAACTAGATTTAACATTACTTTAACGAAATCTGTGTTTTTTTCTTTAATTGCAGATGATTCAGTTCAGAGATATAGTGGTCACCGCAAAACATCTTTTTTGAGAGAAGCTCCCGGAGATCAGCTGTAGTACCTTTCCAAATAAATATTATTACTAATACTAAATCTTACAATACGGCTAGAGGATACCGTAATAGGTGTACAAGTCTTTGGATCAATACAATTTTGAGTTTCTGACGATTTCAGAGTTAAAGTTATCATGTATTTTGCTGAAAAAATTGTTTTGAGGTTATGTTTAAAGTCAAGTCTTTATTATTAACCATTTTTTTATTTTTTTTATTTTTTTTTTTAATTTTTTTTATTGAATTTCATTGATAATACTTCGGAAATTTTGAAAATTTATATTTCCTTCTATTTACACGTTTACTTGCCCTTCTTCTTTATAGGCGAAGACACCGCTTATGCGATTATGCCATATTATTATAGTTACGTAAAATAATATTTTGAAACAACTTCTAGGCGCTTGCGCACTGAACTATTTAAAAACAAATTTTAAGAAACTAAAATTTCCAGATTTTTGAATTTCAATCAGCGTGCAAAATTTCCAAACCGTGACTTATTGCGAAACAAATTCTTGCGATCATTTATCAAAAATAATTGAAATAATGGCAATTCCGCGCGGAACTCGTTTCGATCAATAAGCATAGAATCGGTGCAAAATGCCAAGCTTATTGGTCATTTCCAATTAAAAATAGAAAAATAAACAACTATGGCAAATCACTCATATTATCATATTAGCGCTCAAGGCGAATCCAATTTTCAAAGAGACACAATGGCGCAACTAATGTGACACACACACACACAAGCGCACTCACAAAGTGGCACTGGAATTGGAGCAGACGGTGGCGGAGCCAATTAGCCCGCCGCTAAGCTAATAGAGTATGGCAAATGGCATGCCAATGGTGAAACGATAACAAAAATGGTGCAAGTGGTAGATACCACGTGACTATGACAGGCGCTGACTGTTTTTTAACGGTTTGTTGTTGGAAATTGAATGCGGCGCTCTTAGAGTGGCTGTCGCATGCCAGCAGCCAAGAAAATCCGCCGATGCCTGCGCTGATGTACGACAGTTCGCTGGTTGGCAGTGAAAGTGGCGTGTTTCGAAGCGGTTAATCGGGAAGTCAGATGCGGCAACGAGACGTCTGCGTTGTATCGACATACGAGTATAGGGGTGTGACGTTGCTGCGGCTGCAGAAGTTCAGAAAACATAAGCGCTACTCATTTATGCTTTGATGTGTTACGAAACTTGCGGCCGCCTTCGCTCGTCTGTATTATTGAACATAATAAGCACAAAAACACAACAATGTTTTTGAAGTCTGACAACACCTTGGCAGTCGCAGCATTGTTTAATAGCACCACTTGTTGCGAACACAACAAAAATGCACGGAGCAAAGTGGTTCGCCTTAAGGCAGCAAATCACGAGCGCACCGCCAGCAACCGGTTCGCGGCAAAGCGGGCAGGGCGCCGAGAATTTTTCGCGTTTGAAAACACACACAACAATAGCAAAGCGGCTAAGCGGGCAATTACATAAACAAGTGCGGCTGCCGGCGAAGGCTGGCACAACGAACATGAAATTCACAAAGAAAATGCTCGGCTCAAAATTAAATATGAATTTTGTGCTGCCCATAAACAATGTGTGACAGCAACAGCACAACAAACACTGTAGCACTGAGAAGCATGCGAAAAATGTCAACAGCCGGAGAGTCGACATTTCAAATGGACTGACATGAAAGAACAAAGCGAATGCTTACTTGCAGGTGATTTGCCACACAATCGCTCCGAATTGGCCGTCCGTCCGCCATAACTGCGCAAGGCGATTTAAGCATTATACAACAAATACACCCTATACTTGTGTGTGTGTGTGTGCAACATTGCGTCATGGCAGAATTTATGGCATGCCATTACACAAGCGGCGGCCATAAAATAAACTCGCCGAAAAATATATGGCGAACATAAAATTAATAAAATTTACTTTAATCGGCCGTT